ACTAACCTGAGTTAGTATGAGGAAGTATGATGAAGGGGCAATCAGAATAGAAACAGATAATAGTTTATTTCTTGCAGTTAAGGTAGCTTCTTAATTTTTACCGCAACAACAAAAAAAATAACCACAAAAAATCAAATCACTTGGAGGGCACCTGGGTGGCTCAGTCGGTTGAGTCCAACTTCGGCTCAGGTCATGATCTCACAGTTCGTGAGTTCGAGCCCCGCATAAGGCTCTGAGCTGACTGCTTGCTCAGAGCCTGGACCCTGCTTCAGATTTTGTGTTTCCTTCTCTCTCTGACCCTCCCCCGCTCATGCTTTGTCTCACTCTATTTCTCAAAAATAAATAAATGTGAATTTTAAAAAATTAAAAAAAAAATCACTTGGTTCCCTCGCGTATCTTTGATGGGATGTGTTCAAATTAAAAGGCTTGAAGCTTAAACCCCGTTGGCCTCAAAGGAAAACAAGTTCTGACTGTATACTTCAGTTTTCCCCCTTGTTCTTATCATTGAGCTTCCGTATAATTGTTGCATGATGAATTCCTTCAGTAATCTGCTTCGTTCTAAGTCCTTATCCCTCCATCCATTCTAACGCAACTGCCAAAGCAACGTTTCTTAAATACTGCATATCTTACATTCCTTTTCCTTGATTAGACATTAAAGATTACATATTGCCGGAATAATTTATTATTTTTTGTCTGAAATTCAAAACTTTTTTCAAAGTTCTTCTTACTTCTTCCACAACTTCCTTGTGCAAAAGCATTTCTCCAGTGTTAGTCTTCTCATTAATTCTAGAACACTCTTTTCTCTCCTGTACCTTAGAATCTTTGTTCAGCTGTACTTCTCCCTTAAACTACAATTTAATAACCAAATATTCCTCAGAACTTCCCAAATTAAACCTTTTGGGAAAGTAATTTCTCCTTCCTCTAAACTCCTGTGGTATGTATTGATCACCATGGTCATTTTTTACTAAGCATAGACGTTATTTACTTCTAATTTGAAAAGTATGAGATTTTACTCTAAGACAAATTTATAAACCTCTTAGTATTATTAGTTACCTATTTGTTGTCTGTGCTTCCTAATGGTAATCAAATACTCTATAACAACTTTACATTATTAAATAATAACATGTTGGCACTTGTGTTCTTCTAAATCTCTTTTAAATAGACATTTGGTTTTTAATGTATTCTAAAGTTTTGGTTTTTAAAGTATTGATGAAGAATACAAAGGAAATAACACTCAACTAAAGCCTTATCTATCGGTTTTGGAAATCACAAAGAAGAGAAAAAACAGTGAAAGTAATATTTCTGAAACATATTGTTGAAATTAATTCAAGGGCATTATTTTCACTTGAGTAATGGAATGGCATCTTACATTCAACAATTGCAAGTAAAATAAAAATTATATAGTAAAATCACCCCCTAAAATACTTTAAATTCCTCATAAATATGTGTGTGTACATTAAAAATCTTTATAGTAATATGAATGTATGATTATAAAATACATAGGTAACTGTACCATACACTAGAATACATTTGTAAATATTTTACAATATTTTTAATTATATAAAGAAGTTACTGACAGTTGAATTTAGGTAATCTTAGTAAGCATTTGCTTAGGGTGCAAATCATTTGAGAGACAGATCTGCATAAGTTAAAAGTAAGATTCAGGAAATCATCTCTGGATTTGATATCTGGTTCTCTCAATGTCCTGTGACTTTGATGAAGTTGCTTTAATGTTCTGCAGCTTGGTTCATTCATCTCTACGTTGGAGATAGTAATAGTCTCCAATTTAATTGTGTTGTTGTAAGCACAGTGTTGACTAAATGTGCTTAGATTTATGTTTGGTATAGTGTTGGCACTCAATAGTTTTAATCATGATAACATTCGAGACCACTCCCTACAGGTTAAATTAGTATTGCTATTAGACAAGAAATACTGTTAGAAATCTGAATAAGGAAAGATATTTATTCATACTCAGACAGGTAAAACTAAAGAAAAATAAAGAGGTAGTTTAAATCTACGCTGTTAATTTTTGTGCCACCAGTTAAGTGAAATTCAACTTCTGAATAATAGCTGAAAATTTACATTTGCTTGATTTTTCACATATGCTATTTTGTTTCTTATTTATTCAAAAGATAAGTCTGGTTCTGTGTATCAATTTTTAAAAAATATTTATTTTTGAAGGAGAGAAAGACAGAGTGTGAGCGGGGGAGGGTCAGAAGAGAGAGAGAGAGAGAGACAGAATCCAAAACAGGCTGCAGGGCCTCAGCTGTCAGCACAGAACCCGATGCAGGGCTTGACTCACGAGCTGTGAGATCATAACCTGAGCCGAAGTCAGATACCTAACTGACTGAGCCACCCAGGCACTCTGTGCATCAAATTTTCTGAATACACAAACAAAAAGAAAAGAAATAAAACAGAAAATCATACTGGAAGCACACTTAAAAGTAAAGAAAGACATTTCATGGTAAATAATCAATGCAAGAGAAGGATATCACAATACTAAATACGTATGTAAGCATCATCATAGCTTTAAAATATATTTTAAAAGATTGACATAATTAAACAGAAAAATAGACAAATCCACATTCATAATGGAAGATTTAATACATCCTTCCAATATTTAGAATAAACAGATCAAAACATAGTAAAAATATAAAAGATTGGGACAATGGAATCATAAATTTGACCTACTGATACAGGTAGAATATTGACCAGATAATGGGCCATAAAGAAAATCTTATCAAGGAGTGCCTGGGTAGCTCAGTCCATTAAGCATCAGACTCAGAATACCTGCTCAGGTCATGACCTCACGGTCATGGGATCAAGCTCTTCATGGGGCTCCACTAAGTGTGGAGTTGGCTTGGGATTCTCTCTCCCTGTCTATGTCTGCTCTTCCCCTACTGGTGCTCTCTCTCTCTCAAAATAAATAAAGATTTAAAAAAAAAGAAAATCACATCAAATTTTTAAATTACTTTTGTAATTTTTTTATTTAAATACCTGTTAGTTAACATGCAGTGTAATATTAGTTTCAAGTGTAGAATATAGTGACTCAAAACTTACATACAACACCCAGTGCTTATCACAAGTGCACTCCTTAATCCCATTCACCTATTCAACCCATCGCCCCCACCTACCTCCTTTCTGGTAACCATCAATTATTTCTCTATAGTTAAGAATCTGTTTCTTGTTTTCCTTTCTTCCTCTTTTTTCCCCCTTTGCTTGCTTGTTTTGTTTCTTAAATTCCAAGTATGAGTGAAATTATATGGTAATTGTCTTTCTCTGGCTGACTTACTTCACTTAGCAATTATACTCTCTAGCTCCATCCATGTTGTTGCAAATGGTAAGATTTCATTCTTTTTTATGGCTAGGAAATATTCCATTCTATATGCATATGCATCACCTCTACTTTATCCATTTATCAGTCAATGGACATTTGGGCTGTTTCCGTAATTTGGCTATTGTCGCTGCTATCAACATTGGGGTGCATGTAGCCTTTTGAATTAGTATTTTTGTACCCATTGGGTAAATACCTAGCAGTGAAATTGCTAGATTGTAGAATAATTCTATTTTTAACTTTTTGAGAAAACTCCATACTATTTTCCAGAGTGGCTGGACTGGTTTGCATTCCCAGCAGCAGTACAAGAGGGTTTCCCTTTCTCCACATCCTCACCAACACCTGTTGTTTTCTGTGTTGTTAATTTTAGCCATTCTGACAGGTGTGAGGTGATATGTCGTTGTAGTTTTGATTCGTATTTCCCTGATGGTAAGAGATGTTGAGCATCTTTTCATGAGTCTGTTAGCCATCTGGGTGTGTTTCTGGAAAAATGTCTATTCATGTCTTCTGCCGTTTTTTTTATTTAATTTTTTCATGTTAATTTATTTTTGAGAGAGAGACAAAGTGCAAGCAGGGCAGAGAAAGCAGGAGACAAAGAATCCGAAGCAGGCTCCAAGCTCTGAACTGTCCTCACAGAGCCCTACGCAGGGCTCGAACTCACGAACTGTGAGATCCTGACCTGAGCTGAAGTCAGACTCTTACCCGACTGAGCCACCCAGGTGCCCCTCTTCTGTCCGTTTCTTAACTAGATTATTTATTGTTTGGGTGTTGAGCTTTATAAGTTCTTTCTATATTTTGGATATTTATCTTGTGAAATCTTAAAAGATTGGAGAGTGGTCACCCTGTGTGTGGTGAGAGGAGGGCGAGAGGGACTGACTGAAGGGACAACCAGGGCTTCCCTGAGACCTAGTGCTGCGCGGTTTCCTGAGCTCGGTGCTGCTGCAGAGGCATCTTCACCTTCTCGAGATTCAGCAGACCCTTTGCTTCCCTTCTCTTCATGCTTATCGTATTTCAACATAGAGTTTTAGCAATCCAGCATTCCAGTTTCTTGAGTTTTGAATTGTTAAACTCATTTATATCCAATGAGAGTGATCCTGTTGTTTCACACACGTATGTGACACGTCCTTAAAAGAATAAGTGCATGGTTTGCAGGAAAAGCAGGTCGCAAATATCAACCAGCACTGCATTCTTGGCAAAGTTCACTCACGTTGTCTGGGTCTTGTTTGTGAAAGCGTTGCCTAACGTCAAGTTCTGTAAATTATTTCCTTTTTAATGTTTATTTATATTTGAGAGAGAGAGAGAGAGAGAGAGAGCATGCGCAGGGGAGAACACAGAGAGACAGAGACAGAATCTGAAACAGGCTCCAGCCTCTGAGCTGTCAGCACAAAGCCTGACTCATGGCTCGAACCCACAAGCTGTGAGATGATGACCTAAACTGAAGTCAGAGGCTTAACCAAATGAGCCACCAGGTGCCCCAGTAAATGATTTTTAAAGGAGCTTTTATTATTATCTTTTGAGGTTTACACATGATAGACCTGAATGGGTTTGAATAATTAGAGAGTTAATGAAATCCAAAGTTTATCACCGGTTACACATTCTTGCACATTCCAAGAACCTGAGCACATTCCAGCAGAGAACATGCCTGGGTTTATAAGAACAAACCAAAGCAGGTCACAGCATTAACATTCAGTGGGAATACAGTGAAAATCTGATTCCAACACTGGCATTGCTGGGGCTTGTAACCGATTTTTTCTTTTACTTTGCAAAAGTTTCTGATGGGCGGAGCATCTGGTAATCCCTTTCATTCCCAAACTGTGTCTCACTTCCTGCTCTAATCACAACTTTTAGCTGAAGAGCAGCTGACATAGAGTGAGCAGTGTCGGCTATTAAATGTTCCCCTAAAGGATCCTCAAAATGAGATTTCCAGCACAGATTGTTTGGCTTATGTGGTGGACTGTTTGTGTTGCAGAAGGTAAGAGTGAAAAAAGAAAGCCTTTTCTGTGTTATAAAACATTTTCTGTTCTGCTTTTCACAGTGGTATTAGGAATTTGGTCTAGATTGTGATTTAATTACTGTTCTGTAGCTTAATGTGTGAGTGGCTTTTGACATTGTTAAGTTTCAAAAAATAGAAGCAGCTTATTTAGATGTCGTGGTTATTCAGCATCATTTTATTTAATGTAAAAATTCAAAACATGTTTTAATATTTTGAAAGCTGTAATATAAGCATTTCCCTTGTAATTATCATAAAACATAATTTTATGCTTGGAATTTTTACCCAAATGCTTTCTGTGAAAGTATTAAGAAGCATATGAACATATATAGAACCAGAACAGAAATTAGACAATAGAAACCTTCAAATCATCTAATGACTAGATTTATCTCAGGTATAGATGTTAACTCTTTCTAAGGAAGAATCCCTTTAGCATTTACAACTGTTATTGTCACGGCCTTAAAAGTCTTATAGACAAGCAAGCATTACTTGTACCTTTGGCATGAATATACCATATAAATTTGAAAAAAAATGAATATGCAATGTTTATACCATCCAAATATTCTCATGGGTGTTTTCCTGTGGTTGTATTTGAGGTATATTCTAGAAGACCAGTCTTAAGAATAGTGAATATGAATGTAGAAGATTTTATTTTCTGGCATTAGTAAGGGAATTTCTGGACATATAATTAAATTTAATTCTAACACTACTTCTCAACAGAGTAAAAACTTTCTTTGGATAGAATTTGGTTTCTAGTTCATGATAGGAAACTATGTGATACTATTTGATTTACTTTTTTTGAATGACATTTTTAAAACAAATGAGTTACCTATCATTCACAAATTTCCAAAACATTTCACTAAGTCAACAAATTTTTTTGAATGCTTGCTTCCTGTCAGCCTCTATGCGTTGAGAAATACCAACAAATAACACTAAAGCTCTGTCATTGATGGTCTTTCAATCTAGAAAATGAAGGCAGATATCTCTCTTTAGTTATATTCCTCAGTCATTTTTTAAAGTTTATTCAAATATGCTTCATTTTTTTTCTGAGACACGGTGCGTTTTTAGTATCACATTCTGATAAGCTATTGCTTGATTTTTAGGTCAGAAACCTTATATCCAGCCACCTTTGAAACTAGCTATACAATCATTTCCCTGCATATGTAAATATTGCAGTGTGTATTCAAATGTAAAATATTATTGTATCGGCAAAGAGTTCCAGAACACTCTTAATGCTACAAACCATTACAAACATCTTTTTCTGTACACAAGTGTTTTTGTCTTTTCTTTAGCAGGAGTATGTTCAGTGTCTCAATATTTACATATTGTTTGCCTAGGCTTTATGTAGACATCATTTGTCATGTAAGGAAGATTTGTTTTCTTTCCAGCTCATGTTTAAAACTCAAGAATTGATGCCAAGTTTAATTAAACTGTTTAAGTGATTACAAAGCGGAATTTGAAATTTTAAAATCGGGTGCTATAAGCATGTATTAAAAATTAAGTAATAGTGATTTAAACTACTTACTTACATAATCAATTCCAGCTGACTCATTTCACCTGTATTTTCTATTTCATCAAAATGTGTTTAAATGTGGCATCCGTTTCTGCTGGTGAATTGGGCATTAGCACTCTACATACTATGGTGAGACTGACTCACCATATCTGGCTACTTCCTAACAGAGGAAGTATAGCATTACTATTTAAAGCAATCCTTAGGTTAGCCTCATGATTTTCACAAAAGCACACATGATGCACAAGTGAGTAGGAAAAAAATTACATGAATTTTCAGCAGATATAGAACTGTGATTTATTCCTTCTTTGCCAAAAAGTTCTAAAACTGGCTTGAAATGCCAATTCCATCAGTCTACCATACCTAGCAAATTTCACTCAGCAAGATAGCCTTGCTCATTAAAAATATCTATATATCCTTCAGTAGTTGCCTCTGGCTTTATTTCCCATGTAGAAATAAATATGAAATAGTAAATTGAGATATTGAGAAATACCACATTGAATAGTGAATGGTAAATTGAGGAATTGAGAAGACAGTTTGGAACACCAGCACAATCTGCTTTACTCAACCAGTCTTAATGTTTTAGCATTTCATAAATTGCCTCTGTCCTGTTCAGAGTGAACATTCCTCAAAAAACCCTCCTCACTCTAAAGAGGAATGATAGCCCATAGGAAGAATTTATTGGCCCAAGTTTCATGGAGACCAGTTAGTACCTTTTCGATGCAATAGGCTCTCTGCTCTGCCATTGCCAAGTGTGTAGAAACATTAGTTGTTTCCTTGTAAAACATCGCAATTGAACGAATCACCACAGGCTGCTAAGAACTGGTCATATTTACAGGACAAAGTTTAGAATAACAGTCCCTCAATCTTACCACATAGTTTCTGTTTTCTGGGATATATTATGACCAAGCTTTTCAAGTAGACCATTTAGACTTCGGGTCTCAAAAGTGTATAATCTTTGAAAGTAACCCCAGCCCAGAAATTCTTGGCTGAGAAATGTGAAAAAATTAAAACCTACTGAAACACGTCCAAGTACATCTGGCTATTCTTTTTGGAGAGATATAGGTGTTATCTATTTCTGGAGGCTTAAAGGGCAAAAAATGTTCTTTCAGGACATAAAATATATTATAGATCAAAGCTAGAGAGATTCTCTTCTATCAGAAAGTAAAGCAAAATAATTTTTATATATTGTTTCAATGCAAGATGGTTTCAAGTTTGAGTTAACCCTAAGTGGGAAGAATAATTGATATTGTAAATCATAAGAATTACTTATAAATTAATTAAAAGTACTATTTTATAAAGTATATGTGAATGTTATACATAGTTATCTAATCCAGAACTTGAGGTGATGGTTTTTAATCCTAAATTCTATGTTTCAATTCCAAAGTGATAAATAAGAATTCTTCTTCTCCCTTCACAAAAAACCCAAGTTTTCAGAAATAGTTGTGTGGTGTTTACCTATGTGATGTAATTTAAGGTTGTGCAATAGCCCAACTGCCTTCAATATCCTCTTTTCTTTGAAAATGTTGTAGGGGCACTTAGGTGGCTCAGTCAGTTAAGCATCTGACTCTTGGTTTTGGCTCAGGTCATGTTCTCACAGTTTGTGGGGTTGATCCCCATGTCAGGCTCTGCACTGAAAGCTGGAGCCTATTTGGGATTTCTCTCTCTCTCTCTCTCTCTCTCTCTCTCTCTCTCTCTCTCTCACTCTCTGCCCCTCCAGTACTCACACTCTATCTCTAAAAGTAAATTTTGAAACATTAAAAAATATAAATTGCATTTAAAAAAAAGAAAATGTTTTACTCATATAAATTCAACAAACCTGAAATTTGTGTAGAATGAAAAATACTCTGAATACTTTAGAACAGTTAAATCTAGTATTATTTACTGAATATATAAGCTGAAAAGTTCTGTATTACAATTTTAGTGAGGAAAGTTAGAAATGGATGATGAGGGTGAAGAACAGGACTAAGAAACTCTGGAAGGTGAGGTGGCCATGGGGAGTGGAGATCTGATGGGTGAAGTGTGACAGTGAGCGCCATGAGAAGGGTCAGAGCAGATGCCCCGGGAGTGTCACGAGAGGGAGAGGTGTGCCACAGCAAGCCTTGTTTATTTTTAATGTAGACATATTTGGAGAATCCATATGCTACTCTTCTGCCTTCATATAATGTTAAACTAGAACTGAATTATTAAGTATTGCTGAAATTGTTCTTAACTGAAAGTAAGTCCCCCAATGATGCATAAATTAGTAGGTTCTTCATCTTTGGCCTTTGATAGCTAGGGTTTCTGCCAAAGTCTACATCGATCCACTTTGCTCAATCCCTCATTGTTATACAACCTTTGCACTTTTCCTTCTTCCCAGTTATGCCTCTCCCTCACCCCACTCACCATCCCCTACCTGCCCAGGATGTAAGATTTTCCCAACCAGTCTATCCTGTGCTCACTTACCTGATGTGCACTTTACCCATAGCTTAACAACTTTAACTAGTTTCAGAATATGGTGCATAAATAAGAGATGATGTAATTGAGGTAAAAAGTGCTATATTTTAGAAAAAAAGAACAAAAGGAAAGGGGTAAAAATATTTGAAAGAGCACTTTTATGTGTTTGGACATTTTAATTGAGAGAGCCAAGTTTCTCAAACCATGTTGACCAAAAATGTAATAGATAGGAAAGTGATTATAGAATTGTTCCCTCAAAGGCTCCCAAAAGCCTTTTTGAACAAATTTAAAATGATTCCTGACTTCAAAATTATGGCATAAATTCAAAATTAAGACATGTAGACAAGAGGTACAATGGAGTTACAGATAGCAGAGTTTCTTGGGTTCATGCAATAGAGCTTTGAGATCACTGCACACGTGTTCTCATGTCTTATTTGCCCATCCAATGGTCACTTTTTAAGTGACTTCTAAGTGCCTGCTAAGTGCCAGGCATTAGGACTAGCATTTACCAAAAGGCCATTTAGTGGGGAAAACAAAAGGAATGATTATTGTATTTCATCAACATATTGTATTTTACTGTATAAAGCATTGTGATGGAGACAAGCAAAAGAGAGACTACAGGATCATTTAGAGGAGACAAGAATTCCAAATTGGAATGAGAGTCTGTAGTGGGATCAGGTTGGGGAGTTTGTTTGTAAGAGGTGGAATGAAGAGAGCCAAATCTGTCAGGGTCACGATGGCATCTTGGGTAGGCTTTGAAGGTTGGATGGGAGTCATGGAAATAAGGATGCCAGGGAGGAGGACATTCAAGACTGAGGAACATGGCTCCTGGGTGGCTCAATTGGTTAAGCATCAGACTCTTGATTCAGCTCAGGTCATGATCTCAGTCTTGACATCGAGTCCCGTGTGGAGCTCCACACTGGGAATGGACCCTGGTGGGATTCTCTCTCTCTCTCTCTCTCCCTCTCTCTCTCTCTCTATCTCTCCCCCTCTCTCTCTCTTTCTCTCCCTCCCCCTCTCCTTCTACCCTGCCCCT